AAACACTTCTAAAACTCGATCTTTGGGATAGCCTTTAGTTCTTTCAGCCATGCGCTTTTAATGTCATCTATGCTTGCAAAACGACGGCCCTTTAAGGTTCTCTTTATTTTTGGGAATAGGAAAAAGTCAGACAGAGGCATGTCTGGCGAATATGGAGGCTGAGGCATCATTACAGTATTGTGTTTGGACAAAAATTTTGTTCAAAATTTAACAATTTTGGAACAAATTTTTCTGCCCCGCGTTTCATACCCAAAACATTCGAAAAAATTTCATGAGATGAGCCAATCGATATACCAACATCATCAGCGACTTCTCTGATGGTTTATAACCATTTCTTCCACTTTTTCCATGTTTTTATCGGTTGTTAATGTGCTTGTGCGTTCGGGGCGTTCGTCATCTTCAACGTCTTCACGGCCATCTTGGAAACTCTTATACCACTTGTAAACTCTTGTTTTACTTATAGCAGACTCACTATAGGCCTTTGTTAACATTTCACAGAATTTATTTTATTTTTTAAGCAAAATTGGATACAAATTCTTTGATCCATTTCTTTTAACGAACGAAAAATCGCCGAGCTCATAAAACACGTCCAACCTTAGCGGCTGCCACAGACAAAGTAAACAATAAAAACAGCTAAAGTTTCATCATACTTCGGGGGCATATATACTAACATAATAGAGAAACAAAAAACAACCGGACCCTCCGAATCCGCGAAAGTTAACAATTCCCGTTATTTTCTGAACACACTTCGTACACAAACAGTTTTGCCATACTGGTGTATTTGGGGAGATCATTAATAAACAATATAAATAACAAGGGACCCAGAGTACTACCCTGAGGTATTCTCTCTCTAATTCATTTTTAGAGAGTTCCAATGTGTGTATTATATATCTTTGAATTAAACTATCCCCTCGGCAGTGAAATCAATTTTTATAAAGATTTAACAACTTGAAGTTTCAAACTCAAGTACACCCCACATAGTTTGTCTTTTCAGACAAAACAGCTCCAAGAAAACTAATTTTCTCTAATCGAGCCGCTCATCCAGCAAATTACTAAATTAGCGGAATCTCCGATATCCAAGATGGCCTTTTGATTTCCGAAAGTCGCAAGTAAGCTTCGATATATCGTTATTAGTGCCGCAGAAGTCTGGAGACCGAGCAAAAGCAAAAGTCGCTGACATGTTTACGTTTCGGCAAGCATTCAAGAGATGAGGGTCTTAATGGTGGCACACAGCTGAATTATTATTGGCAACGTCGCATCGGTGAAGTTACAATCATCGTCTAAAGTGAATTCGACCGGAAATCTTTCTTGGAGAGTGGAGTTATTTTATGGAGTTTGTTTGCACTTCTACAGTTTCTTAATGAAGGAAAAATAAAGTATTGGTGGGTGATGGGGTGTTTTATTAAAAATTTTATTCAATGTAATTAACACCTGCTTTCAGGAAAATAAAGATCAAAATTTTTTTGCTTAAATTGACTTTTGGTTGGATTTTTATAAATGTTTAGAGTTTTTTTTACAGGCAGTGCACTTTTTAATTTTTTTTACGTTTTTTTCAGAAAAATATGTTTAGCTAGCTTTATATATCTCCACTGTGTTACCAATTTGAAAGAAACCATTCCGATTCTTTGTTAAAAAAACAATACCATTAATATGTTCTTTTAGTCACTGAATTAGTGAGTTAAACTCTAATTTATAAACACGTATTACCAAGTGATAGTGTATAAAAATCATTTTAAGTATTTTTTTAACAAAAAAAGTAATGAAATAGACATTGATATCACAACGGACTGGGGTACACAAAGGACTTAATCAGATAACGTAAGAAAGAAACTATATAGGGTGGTACGATTTTAGAGTAATGCATAAATAAAATCCCTTGTAGTGGTGCTCACTTGCAGAATAACAACTTAGATTTCTAAATTGTAGACACCCTTTTTCTTTGACTATAAGCTGGTGAAGGTTCCTTTTAGTACTTGTATATTGCGTGGAATTTTCCCTTGGATGTAATCTATATCATGAGTTGTAATCACAAATAATTTTAAATTGGTTTATCATAAACCACTTTTAATAAAAGCGACAGTAAATATCCACTTCATTGTCGAAAAATTCATATGCGTTACCCTAAATTCCATTGCGTTACCATAAGGTAACGTAATGGACTCGGTAACGCAGTGGACAAAGTTTTGTGAAACCATATTTAAAAAATAATAATAAAACATTACAGTCATTAATTACTCTCAATGAGCTTTAGTGCCCTAAAATAAACATAAACATGAAAAATAGTATTTTTATTATTGTTTTGAGTAACTTAGCGGACAAACAATTATTACATTCGCGTTACCCGCACCTGTTTCAACCGATATCTTCTTCCTGATTAAATAAATAAATTCAGCTGGGTAATTTGTACGTCCGAACATCATTTGTTGATCACTTGAGTACCAAAAAAGTTGCCATATATGTTTTTTTAATATTCTATCGGTAACGCGACGGACGTAATGCAACGGAAAAAATGTCTGGGACATTAGTCAAATTTAAAAAAAGTAGTTTAAAATTAATTATTTTATATATAAATTGTTTACTGTATTAACTAAGGATGTTATGAATTGCTATGAAGCAACACAAAGTTCTGGTTATTTAATATTAAAAAAAAAAACATGTATGTAAGTTTTATAAAACTTGGACATGCCAAACTGTGTGTTTCACAAGTTTCAAAATTAAAAAAAAAATATTCTTAAATAACTAAACAAACATTTTCTGAAAGAGTTTACTAAGGGCTTGTTAGGCTTTCACTTGGTTGTTAAATCAATAAGATCCGATAATTTTTAACAAAGTTATTGGAATTCAAACTTACGGACAGCGGAAGGCGGTTTTTTTTAAAACGACCCTTATACATAGGATTTTTATTTTAATAAAGACCAGTAGAACATGTTTCAAAGAATGTTAAAATATTTTTTTATAAAATCCTATTTGATAACCAAATTATTTTAATATTTCCCTTAGATTTAAAAAGCTAAGAAAGTAAAGAATTGAAAAATTATGCCACATAAATATCTTCTGCACAATCTCACAAACATTTTTCGTCGTGCCTTCTCCTCTTAAGACAAAAGGAAAATCAATAAAGCAGGCACCAAGCATAAGAAGCTATAAATCTTGAGGATAATGTATCCAGTTTTTTTATGAATTGCCCCAATATATAACTAAGAAGTTATGCTGCTACTTTCTTTTGGCCGAGTCAAAATAAATAATAATTTTCTTTTGGGGGTTTGTAGATTAAGTAAGTAGTCAAAAGGTTTTAATTTAAAATGTAGAGCAGTAAAAATACTTTGTAAAATACTTCCCTAGAGATTCAATTAGATCTATAATTTGTTTAGACCAATCCATCATTTTAATTGCTTTTAGTTTATGGTTATTTAACTACCATCATTGTTCACTATTTATGAAACGGAAGTGGTTAAGGTTAGGATTTAAGATATAAAATAAAGTTTATTTAATTAAGAAATCAACTTATTTTAGGCTTTTTAATCACATTCTAAGATCCCATAAAAGGTTTATATACACTTTTATTGTGTTTGTCTTTCATAATTAAGTAGATATTACAGCTCAGGTTCCAGATTTTTAACCGCAATTAATTATTTTTTACAATGTTTTAAAAGTCTAAAATCTATCCTCCGTGACTGTTACTCTTTCTAGGTTAACCTATATGTTTTCAAATATCTGAGGTAGTAAAAGCATACTAAAAATATCAGTTCACTAAGTAAATTAAACACATCCAAAGCAATCGAATCAAATATAAAATATTATTAAAAATTAAAAGAAATGATTTTTACAACCATTTATGTAGGTGTTACAAAAATTGATTCTAACCTCCGTGAATCTTTTTGCTTTAAATTTTATGCAACGGATGGCGCTTTAATCATTTTAAATAAGCAAAAACCTCTGTTTACGACATTATAGATGCATGTGATTCCTGAAGGTCAGTTAGAATTTATATACAGATGAGAGTGTTGCTGTTTTATAATTCAAAAGTTTAAGTTCATTAATTTTCTATTTAAAAACCTATTCAGCGTGGAGTGTAATATCTCAGTAAATAGATTTTTTTATAAATATTTTATGTATGTACAATTTTATTTTTAAAAAATATTAAGGTGTCAAAAGATACAATAACTTTTCAAATATACTAAGGGATGTTTTAAAAAATATATACGAAATCCTAACCTCCGTGAAGCTCTAATATTCAAAATGTATGTAATGTATTAAAATTCTTGCATTAGTGCAGAACCACTTGTGTTATGTTATTACTAGAGCTGGTGGCTTCCCAAAAACCCCATTCTAGACCAGCGGGGCTTATTTTTAAATTTTCTTTAAAATGGCGCTTCGTTTTTTAAATTTGTGTTGCTGGTTGCCGAGAAATTTAATTTAATTGTATGATTAGTACTTGAGTAGTAATTTGTTGGCATTTATTAGTGATGCGGTTCCATAAATCTTAAAAGGATTCAGGCTGGGTGGCATAAATTTTGAATGTCCCCACAAAAAAATCAAAGGTAGATAAATCCGGTGATCTCGCGGGCCATTCGATAGCATCCCAATAAAAATGTCGTTTTAAACTGCTAGCTTACTTAGCTCAATGTCAAACTACAATTGAGGAGATAATGTTTTTTTTAAAGATTTTTTTTATATAAATATTGAAAAACGTATTAAAATTTGTAATAAAATAAATCTTATCTTATCTATTTTTAGCTATTATTTAATGAAAATGGTTTCAGTTACGTTATTTTTTCAACAGTTTAACAAGTCCTCGGTAGTATAGTGGTAAGTATCCCCGCCTGTCACGCGGGAGACCGGGGTTCGATTCCCCGCCGGGGAGGATTACTTTTTTAAATTTTTTTTATCACAAAATTAATATTTTTAACTATTACTTACTTTACTTTAGGCATAAATACCTACAAAAAATCCTTTTTTTCGTTTAATAACACAAAAAGGTATAAATTAAACAAATTTAATAAATTATCACTATCATATATTTATTTATTTACAATACTGTGAGTAAGATATGTACAAAGGTATAAACAGGGTTTGTTTTTTTGTTCATAATTTAAAATAGGGGGCGGGAGATTATATTTACAGACATTTATATATAAGTATTTCTTATAGGTAAGTTACAATTATTAAATACAAGATTGTCTTACGTACGTTAAGCATTTTCGTATATATACACAGTTATCTAAGTATTATCTATTTAGATTTATTAAGCGGCGCATATTTGGTAAGAATCAGCCTTTCATAGAAAGTAGACGTCACATCTGAAACAAAAGAAAGATACGTTAGAAATTTATCACAAATATTTTGTCATTAAACAATTAAATTATGTCAGAATAGTCTTCAGACAGGATGTGTAACTATGGTATTTTTAAGTATTGTGGTTTATAAATAGCCTAACAAAATATAAACATTTAGTTTAAAAATACATCAATAACCTCATTAGATTATATTTTTGATTTGTCTATGTTTATATTATTATATTATTATGTCTAGTTTAGTGAAATTTATAATTTTATTATTGTGGTACACAGGTAGGATAGCAGTTTTTATTAAGCCACTAGTCGTATTGAGTTTTAATTGAGGTAAGGTTTTGAAAATACCGGTAAGTTTTCTTTAGTTAAATATATCTTTTTTTTCTCGACCAACTTAGATCAAAATAACGCGTTTCCATGGAAATAAACAACAACTTGCAGCTTAACAGACTTGATAAAAACATTGAAATTATTTTTTAGTATTTTGCATAATAAATCATAACTCCGTAACCAAATGAGCAAATCATTTTTTTTTGCACCCATTCGTAGTTTTTTACGTAGATTCGAATTTTATAAAAAAAGTACATTGTTCCAAAAATCCAAAGTTGGTAAATTTCAAAAATATGTCTGAATATGTCCCCCCATTACTTCATTAAAATTTCACAAAAAATATTGAACCGTTTTTAAGATATTGCCTTGTAACCAGTGGCGGCTGGTGGATTTTGGCACACCCATATCTTAGTTTTAATTTTTTTAAAATTTAGTAAAAGAAATAATAAAAAATTAAAATGGTATAAAACCTGTAATACTTGAATTTTTTTAATAAAATTTTAAGTTTGTCGATAAACTTCAGTGAATTAAATATTGTACCACTTTAATTTGAATTATCTTAATTAGGAGGGGCAGGAGGCTGGGGGCACACTTAAAAACTAACTTTTTTCGCAAACTTCAATTTAAATTAGTTTAAATTTAGTAGAGTGGCTAACCGTATAATGTTCTAAATTAAGTTTTAATTATCAAGTACTTAAATAAAAGACACCTCAAAAAATAGTTTTATCTTATTATTAACACATTAATTTACGAAAAACAATTTGCTAGCTTTTGAAAGCCATATTATGACATGTCCAAGTATGGGATGATTCAACAAAACTGTCACTGTCCATAGGCTATAGATGGACCATAGCAACCTTAGTTTTTCGTACAGAAAAAATATTGGAAATTGCAATGTTTTTTTTTAAATCCATATTTTCCAAAAAAAAAAAAATATATCAAAGTGAACCAAAAACAAAAAAAAGTTAAAAACTGTTAAAAATAGATATATATGTATGTATATTATAAACCATTCATTTATCTACAATATTCTTTAATACTAGTATTTGTTTAAAGCCAAAATCAAAAAAAAAGTTCTTTGCGATTGAAATTAATCGAAAATTTGTGTGGATGGATTATTTTGCCTGTGAGTGTATTTGTTGGACACTTTAAAATACTAATAAAGGAATAAATAGGTACGCTAAACTCTTGACCTCAAATTCTCAAGAAATGATTTAAAAACTCCTCACTCAAATGAATCCAACTGCGCTTTAATAAAGTATAGTGCAGGCGCGGTTTTCAGAACAAACGCTTTCCTTCTTTTATTAATCAGACAGTGCAAGGCACAAGTAGCTAGTTGTATACATTAAACACAACATGCCATAACATAAAAGCCATTTACTAATGAACATTCTAAGTTTATAATATGCTTTACTATTATAACTGTTTAGTATAAGAGCTACCACGCACTATAAAGAATCTGATAATGTGTAATATGTGAGAGTATGCAAGAAACTTTTCCCTGCGGAAATAGCACAGATAGCTTAATTACTCTTTATTATCTACCGGAATATATAAAGTACCTACACAGGCCAAGTTCGAAAATATATTCTCTGCAACTTAACCTTACATTTTTAATAGGAATAAAGGACAGTATATTATGTATCAAGTTTGATAAACGCCATTTTATACACGAATTTAATTTAGGCACGAGCGTGCTTGCGAGCGCTTAAATTAATGAGTGTATAGAAAAGTTTATAAACGAGGTGCATACTATACTTTTTCTACGACAAATACTTATTATTATCTTAAAATTATTTAAATCTAGTTTTAAATAATTTAATGTGAATCAAAACAAAAACACGGAACACAAACTGCTATCCACCACATCTTCAGTCATGTGACGAGCCGCCACTGATATCTTTAATAAACTTTGTAGTAGCTTGAGTTTCACAACCAAAAAAGTATGATTTATGAAATTATTTATTAATTTTCAAATTAATTATTTTTAATGTTCGATGTGGGAAGCAAAATAATTAATTTTTGTTAAAAATTATAAAATAAACAAACATACAGTTGTGAATATTAATTTTTTCAAACCAGTTATGTATTACGAAAATGATAATATCTCTGCAATAAACATATTGAAAATGAGAATTATTTATACTTTCTCCTGAAAATTGTGAAATTTAATTAAAACTGTCTAGATGTATTGAATTATTTCTATGAAAAAACATAAAAAGCATCGATATCATTCATTAAATATTTTAATGAAGTAATTAAATCTTACATAATACGTACTTAATAAAAGTATTTCGTTAATTAGGTAAAGAAACATCCCAACAAAAATTTTAGTTGGTTATTTGGATTTTAAATTTATAAGTTTTAGTGTCAAGTTTATCAATTACTTAACAGGAAACGCGTTAATTATATATCAGTATGGTTATGAATTTTAAAACAATTAAGATAAAGGTTGCTTTGATTTTGTTTAAAAAGCCGCCTCCATAACATATGGCACGCCGTTTTAACATTTATTAAATAATTGTTTAATTTAAAATATATTGGTTTAAAATTTTCCCAACTAAAAATTTATAAATTTAAAATATTTTCAACTATCATTTATTGAAAGACAAAATTTACTAACAGTTTCTTTCTGTATTAAACAATATTTCCAATAAATTTTTGCAAAAATTTCCAATAATCATTTTTTATTAAAAATAATTTCTTAAGTATAATTTATTTGGGTAGAATTTTGTAAATTCTAAATACATATTTTTTTAATCTCAAAACAATTGATAATCAATATAGTATATTATGTATCAAGTTTTATAAACGCCATTTTAGTTACGAGTTTTATTAAGCACTAGCGAAGCTTGCGAGCGAGTGTTTAATAAAAACGAGTGTCTAGAGAAGTTTATAAAACGAGTTGCATAAAGTATACGGCCATTTCAAGCGGATGGACGGGACAAATCACATAACAGTTTTTATAAAAAAAATTGTAGCTAATTTATTATATATTATTTTTGCATCAAAATTGTCAAAAAAATTCTTCTATTATTAGGGTATACATTAAATAAAAAAAAACGCAAGAAATATTTTATAAAAGTAGAGATAATTTTAAGAATTGACAGGGATGGACGGGACAAGATAAATCTTTTTTTTGTCCCGTCCACACCTTTCAAATTGATTTTAATAATTGAAAGTTTCAATTATTAAAATTATATTAACTTTCATAAAATATTTCTTGAGTTTTTTTTTATTTAATGTATAACCTAATAAAAGAAGAATATTTTTGACAATTTTGATGCCAAAATATTATATAATAAATAATCTACAATTTTTTTTATAAAAACAGTTTTGTAATTCGTGCGTTTCGCGCGCTTGAAATGGCCGTATACTATACAACGAACAGAAATAGGAATTTAAAGCCAATTTTAATTCATAAATATTTGACATTTTATGAATTTAACCTTACTTTTTCGCAATTTATAATAAAGCTAACTTCAGCCCGTGACTAAAATGCCCAAAAGCCACTGTTACTAACTTCAGCCCGTGACTAAAACGCCATAAAGTCACAGCTCGTCAATGTAGGAGTAGATAAAATATTTTAAATATAAAATGCAAATGTAAAAGTTTAAGTTTAAAATATTGGTTTTTAAAAATTGTAGTTTTAAGAGGCATTTAAATTTTTAATACAAAAATTCTCACATTACATTTAAAATGTTAGTTTTAAATTTTAAAGTGTAATTTTTGGATTAAAAATTGAACCCAAAAACTTTTTTTTAACAAATTTAAATTTATTTATTTTCAACACAAACATATTCACATCAAACATATTCACATTACATTTAAATGTAAGTCGATAATTTTTAATTCACAAAGTGTAAACGCTGCTTTAGCTGACTGCATATGCAGCAGACTTCGCGCTTTGTACGTTTCACACATAGATCTGTACTACGCTTAAAATTGACCACTAGAAAGAGACAGCGTACACCGTCTGCTAAAGCTACGTTTACACTTTGTACATTAAAAATTATCGACTTACATTTAAATGTCAAGTTATAAATTTTGTGTTAAAGATTTATCAATTGAGGGGCCTAGAAGTAAAAGGGTTTAAGTGCATTTTTGTTAGTTCTGAGATAAATGGCTTTAAAGTTAACTTGAATTTTAAAATTCTAGAAAAAAATTTAAAAAACTGTGAATATTTTAGTTTTGTTTAAAGGCAAAAAAGGATTATAAAGAAAAAGGAATTTTTCAATTTCGCTTTTTTGTTAATTTTTTTTACAAAAATGTACTTGAATCGTCATGCATGTAAGACAAAATTTAGTGGTAAAATGATTTAAATGCAATTACTGTACTAGAACAAAACTTTATTTTTTAAAATTTGGGTAAGTTTTATAACAAAAAGTATTATTCATAATCAAAATCTAATACAACGTTTTCTTCATCTGAATTAGCTGGTCTTGGTTTTTTGGCTCAATATATGCTGCTAAAGCCTTGACAAGTATTTTAAAACAGACCATAGCATTAGATATAGCATAGCTATAGATAATAGCCTATGTTTAGCAGTAAAAGGTGCACTTAAATCGTTTTACCAAAGATATATTTTAAAATATTTTGACAGGTTTTTGAATTTTTTATAATTTTACCACTAAGTTAGAATATTCTTTAGGTGTGATATTCTGCACTTAGACCATTTATTTAAAAAAGTGCACTTGAACCGTTTTACTTCCAAGCCCCTCAATTGTTTTGAGTTTAAAAAAATACAAATGTTACAACATCATTAGTCTTTAGGCTATTATCTAATAAATGCTAAAACGCATGCATTATGCATAATAACAGGTTGCAGCTGACTTCAAAGTAGTAAACAAAAACGAATCCTTACCCATTTTTTTCGACATGGCACACATAGTCGTCGATATCGGTATCACAGTTTACGGCCCGACGTAGGTCCTGGTGTTGGTAATGTACCTGGGCTGGCGGCTCAACCGCACCGGGGGCGGCGTGCTAAGCGGCGGCGGAGGCGGCACGAAGCCCGTGCAAACATCGCGGGCGGCGTAGTACGTCTCTGGCGGCGGCGGCACCGGCGGCGGCATGTGGTTGAAGTTGTGCAGCGTCGGCGGGCCTCTAGGCGTGAGCGGCGGTTGCAGGGGGACGGCGTATTCGGGGTCGCGGATGTCGGCGTAGTCTGAGGAGCCCGGGAGGCGGCCCAAACTCGGTTCGCGGTAGAGGGCGGCTTTATCGCAACCCCCCGGAACTTGCGAAGGTCTCGGGGATGACTTGTAGCGCCTTTGTTGGATCACCACGTAAAGCACCACGGCTACCATCAGCACCACCAATACCGATAAGATCCCCACTATGACTCCCAAGTACTGTCCCAAACCCGGGGTGGAATTTACAGCGGTAACAACATTCTTATTTTCTATTCCAGGTGTTGATATTTGATCTTTCTTCAGCAAATCATCATCATCATTCTCTTCTTCATCAGTGAAATTACCGTTCACAACAATTGAATCAAACGTAATCTCACTCAGGAGAATCCAACGAGCAGCGAAGTGTAGTTGCAGCTTAACAAACCTCCCAACCCTATGGTGCAGCTTTATAGAAACATTCCTAGGGGTTTCGAATATATGATCCTCTATGTAATCATACGTAATGGGCTTCCCCTTATATCTCTTCCCCCCCACACTGAACAAAACGTTGGCTTCGGAAAAAACTTGCACGTCTTTGGTGAACTGATTGTTGCTGAATATATGCACTGCGTTAAACTCGCGAACTTTATCGAACTCGAAGGTGATTTCAATGGGTTCGTTGTTTCTAGTGTCGTTCCTCCACCCAACCCAACCTTGAGGATTCTCTTGGTAAAAGGATTGCTTGAAATCATCTGGCGCGACTTGACCGTCTGTCAACTGACCTAAGCCGTACTTAAGCTTCTCTCCATCCCAGTGCCCATCATACGAAGTGTCGTAAAACTCCCACGAAGTGCCTCTTTTATCCCCCTGCGCCATAGAGTAACTCACGATGCCTTCAGTCCACTTGCAACCGTATGCTTCCACCCTCATGCAAACGGTTCTCTTGTGGTGGCTGTAAGGGTGGAACCTCAACTTGCTAGCCCATATGGGAGGATCCAACACTTGCTTGCTGGCTGTGTAAGTGTTAATGTTCCCCTTTATCAATTCCTCGTTTACCCTGTTCCTATATCTGATCCATTTGTTAAGTCTTGGTCGCCAGTACTCCAAGATGTAGGCTTCGGCAAACTCAACTCCTTGCCCGTTGCCAAACCTCCCCTGCGATTCAGTGGAGGTTATCATGTGCACCGTGTGCAAATCTATTTGTATCCATTCTTTGCTTTCTGGTGTTGCTTGCGTTTGTGGGCACCAAGCTCCGCCATTTTTTTCTTTACGGATCCTGAAACAATAAATCATATTTCTAATAATCTAGTACATGTAAGCATTAGAGGTAAGAATTTAATTTTAGAAATAAAGATTATGCAGCGTGATTCATGTACGAACAGATGAGTGGAATTTTTATGACATTTTTATTGCTCGAAATTCCGGCGTATTTTCACACCAAATACTAAATGATTTTAGAAACTATTTTACTGCCTTAGCGGCTACTGTTTACGACGAATAGTTTTGGGTGTTAAAAGAAACGATTTCAGAGCACCATGACACACTTTAACAAATCGTATTCGTAGAGGAATAAACAACCCCATTGTAAAGATTTGCAAATTGTAGCAATTGTAGCAACAATACTATCGCGTGTAATACTACAACCCAACTTGTGTGAAAAATTTTATAAGTAATGTACAAATGGGTGAATCTCACGAAATGTCCCCCGATGGTATTACCCCGAGATATTTAATAAAACTAAATGAGTTTGACCTACACTTTTATTGTGTTTTGATCTTTCATAATTAAGTAGATATTACAGCTCAGGTTCCAGATTTTTAACCGCAATTAATTATTTTTTACAATATTTTAAAAGTCTTAAACCTATCCTCCGTGACTGTTACTTTTCCTAGGTTAACCTATATGTTTTCAAATATCTGAGGTATTAAAATCATACTAAAAATATCAGTTCACCAAGGGCCGGTTTTTCAATCATAGTTTAAACTTGGTTCAGCATTTGAACTTGGTTCAAACAAAATATGCCGTTTTTCAATCAAAGTTCAAGCTTGAATTTGGTTTAAACTAAATCAAAAGATGAACTGTCACTGTTGGCCGTTTAAACGAAGTTCAACGTTCTCTGCTTTATTGTGTATTAGGTTGTTTATTTCTTGTTTTGTAATCTGCTGTTATAATAAACCAATGGATATGTTTGAGGTAGTTAGTGAGGATGATGAGGAAATTGGCGAATTCCTAAATAATATTCAACTTCGTGTGCACAGGCCACGGGTAAGACCGAATCATTTTGAAAGGTGGATTAATGATGAATTTTTTGCCAGTTTTCGGTTTTCCAAACCTTTTGTACGTAGACCAGTTATTGCAAATCCGACCAATAGGTTAGTTATAAAAATAATTACTGAATAGGTAATAGATTTTAGTAAAATTCATCACATGTAACAAAAAACGACAAATTCATTTTATAATATAAAACGAAATACATACAAATAATTCCTCCTTAAAAGAGGTAAAGTTGGCAGCACGATTTTTATCCATAATAAATAATAATTATTGTTCTTTAACAATAGTAAATTGTTTTAAAGCACCCTTTCGTACAGATTATAACTTTTTAAAACAGCACAGATAATCAAAAATCCAAAAGTAAACACAAAATTCTTTTGTCAAAATGACAGTTTTAACTACTATTAATGTAGGCGTATACTAAATTCGGTTGTACCAACTTAACGTTGACACCGCTGATCTAAATTCAACAGAACTGCTGTTGAGTCGACATTGAAAAACTCATTTGACTTTGAACTGAGTTCATTAACTGATCTAAGTTCCCCTGAACCAAGGTTTAAACCCTAATTGAAAAACCGGCCCTAAGTAAATTAAAAAATACAACCAAAGCAATCGAATCAAATATAAAATGAGTATGAGTATGAGTATAAGAGACGTATAACCAGCCCCATTTCCTCTTGACTCGCGAACCCCGTACAGGCCTATGTTTACTTGCGCCGATTTTTGTTCTTCCCCAGCAACTGCACGGCTTCACCCGTGTTTGCTGGGTGCGAATGTCCATTGCGTTTCGTACTGTCCCCTATTTGGGGCTCGAGAGCGAGAGGCGAATAGTTATAATAGCCATTCCCGGGTTCGCCGAGCCTATGCTATACGCTCGGTGGGGTGTGGATGAGGGACGGGAGGGAGTTGGTTTTTGGGGGACAATTACGCCGACTTAAAACTAAGTACGACGCGGAATCCCCCTAGACCAGTCGATTAGTTTTACTCCAAACATTTGGGATTACTATTTGGAGTTGGGGAGTTGTTATTTCGCTGCAGGGGTGTAGTCGAGGTCTTTGTCTTGTTCGTTATTGTCGTTGTCCGTGTCCTGGTCAGATAGCTCCTGCCCTTGGTAAAGTGTGTCAGTTGTTTTTAATAATTTTTGTCCCAAGCACGTTTTGTGGTAGAGTTCCGTCTTTGTTTATCAAATTCCAAGGCATTGCATTTATTCACTAGTCCAACAAATCACAAGCGCGATCATTCTGTCGTCTAATGTTTACAAATCTCGAGTTTGGCTATTAGGCCCTTTTTTTAATGTGTTAGAATTATGATCAGTGTTAGTTTACTCTGTCAGTCCAATGTTTATTTTCGGTCTCGATTGGGACCGCTTTACGCACTTGCCGTTGACAGACTTATTGCCCCACGCCGCGCGCCCTTCATAGATTTTAAAGATATCCCAATAAACACTTTAACGATGCCTAACACCATTAGCATTGCCCGTGTAAGAATTTTTAACACTTTTTAATACAATTTTGCAATGATAGTAATTAAAAACAAAACAATTGTTTAAAGAGTAAAATATGTTCTTAACATAATCCTATTTTAAAGTTATTTTAACATTTCCAAGTAAAATAAATGTTATGTTTAATGAAATGAATACGGGCAATGTTAATGGAGACAAGTAACGGAAAATGCTTGCCGGGATCTGCCGTATTTATATTGCAGATTTGTATCAGGTCATGCATACTCTTAAAGTAAAACTTATCAGATTTTTCCCCTTGCGGATGACCACCTCCCCTCTTCTCCGACCTCCCCCGTCCGTCCAGTGAAAAGCCTCCAATGACAGGTGGCACCCAAGTCACTCATATCACCAACACTCCACTCCTCAATGACCGCTACACCACTACACCACTCCAGCTTGCACTCCATGAAAATGTTTGTTTCACTTTATTTTTTAAATTATTGTTGGTTTCATCTTTAAACCTTTACGTTTCAAGAGCTCGCCCGCACGCGACCCGTCTACTCGAGCGCCGGAACCGAACTGAGCAATCGAATCAAATATAAAATATTATTAAAAATTAAAAGAAATAATTTTTATAACCATTTATGTAAGTGTTACAAAAATTGATTCTATCCTCCGTGAATCTGTTTTTGCTTTAAATTTTATGCAACGGATGGCGCTTTAATCATTTTAAATAAGCAAAAACCTCGGTTTACAACACTTATATGCAGATAAGAGTGTTGCTGTTTTATAATTCAAAAGTTTAAGTTCATTAATTTGCTATTGAAGAACCTATCCACCGTGAAGTATAATATCTCAGTAAGTAGATTTTTTTTTAAATATTTTATGTATGTACAATTGTATTTTTAAAAATATTAAGGTGTCAAAATAATGACTTATTTCACATATACAAAAAAAAAAAAAAAAAAAAAAAAAAAAAAAAAAAAAAAAAAAAAAAAAAACATACGAAATTCTAACCTCCTTGAAGCTATCTCCGTGAAGCTCTAATATTCAAAATGTATGATTTCTCAAAATTCTTGCGTTAGTGCAGAACCAATTATGTTATGTTATTACTAGACCTGGTGGCTTCTAAAAAACCCCATTCCAGACTAACAGTGAAACAACCAAAAATAAAAAATAATCATTTTCACTTGGGGGACATCTCAATATATTTGGAGAAATAATTTTTTATTAATTGTTGTAAAAAATTCTACAAAGTTTTGTAATCTCATAACATTTTCTGGACCCAGATTAAAGTGCATGACTACAAACTGCTGTTCTAGGTGATGTAAGTTATAGTAATACATTTGTTCCAATTTTGTTTGGATGTGTATTACAATTTGTTATCATCCGTATTTTCAACACAATTTGTAAAGAAAATTCATATATTTATATAGCTTTTGAATTTGGTGGCATAAAAGAAACCTGCAATAAATAATTCATTTTTAATTAAACCTACCTTCCGTGATGTGGCCCGACATTCCCTTGATCGAAACTTGAGCTTGCCGTGATATCTTCATCAGGGATGGTCTCGTCCTCCATTCCCAGCTGCGAGTGACATTGTGCTGAAAAAAAATTAAGTCTTTCAAATTGTTGTTTGATGTTCGTCGGCCTATTTAACCCTCCGCCTTTTTTCAGTGGCTAATAAAGGAGAACACAAATAGAGGAAGCGTTAATAAAGAAACGTGTGCTCTGATGTTTAGCTTCAACCACGATTGTGTATCGTGGCTTCCACTAATGAATTTTTATAATTGATATTAAAAACTAACTCTCTTAAAATGAATTAGTCAAAAATAACTAGTTATAAGTCATATTTGACTAATTGTCATAGCGAAAAAGCAGTCATTGATTTATTATAAGAGCGGCTGATAGCCGAATGGGTTATGACAACAGCGTGACAAGCTTGACAAGTGACATACCTGAGTTCAATCCCTGGCTGGGTCAAAACTTTTTTAAATTTAAATCTACTAATTTGACTATTTCATTCTACTGAACTACTAATCTTAAATTAGTCAAGCTTTAACTATTTATATGGTAAAAATAACTATTATTAATTGAAAACGACTATTTTAGAGAGAACAATCTCTAAAACTTACCAGGTTCTATACTGTCCCCTGTGGAAGCCAAGGCCAAAAACAAAACTGGTAACAGTAAAACCCTCATTTTGGCGGCTTGTAGATACGACGTTTTTACTCCATCATCTGCAAAAAAGAAAAAACGTTAATATAATGAACAATGTCGAACAATTCCCTGGCGGAAATATGACACCGACTTGCGGTCTTTCCCGTAGACTTAATTACATACGGTCTTGCATGAAACACAATAGATTGAAGTAATCGTATACTTAATGTGCACAAAAAAAATTAACACCCAATTAAGTGTCTTGTGACACGGTGGCACTACCAGTACCTACATATCGGTTACTGAATTCGATATCGATTTGATACGGGGTAAGGTAGGTTTCTATATTTTTATGCGCACTACACATGGTTATTTATTGATATAAATTCGCCCTAAGTTGAATTTATTATGCTGATACATTTCAACTGTAATCGATATTAATGCTCTCTATTAAGAAATTGTTGTTTGTTTGTTTATAAAAATAGATCTGCTATAAATTGATTTAGAATTTATTGATGATGGTTTTTGGAACTTTAAACAGTCTAGTCATATTTTGGTTTAGTTTAACTTTTGATATAACTTTTTGTTAAACTAAACACAGCTTTGGTTAATTTGAATATATTTGTTTAACCAACAAGTTATATTTTACCAAATATATTTCCAAATCCAAATATAACTCGCTGGTAAATTAACGTTAATTAATAAAGTGGTATAAAAATTGATGGTTTTGCAGTTTTAATTTTAATATAGTGTTATTTTAAAAATAAGGTTATTTAAACAAACAAGGATCTGTAAATTATATCTATTCTATCTATAAAAACAATATAAATACCACAAATTTACGTAAAAATAACGCTATAATTACTAACTGTTTGCTCTCTCTTTCTAAAACATTGACATTCGTAATTTCTTTGTTCTTTTAATTTATATTTTACAAAATGGTACTTACAAAGTAATAAAGAACACCCTAGAGTAAAATTAAAAAAATAACTTAAATTGTCAAAACTAATAATATTTTGTATTACAACTCGAACGAACATTATTTTATTTATAAAAATAGGCACGATACATCTTAAAAATTATATGCCCTCTAAATATTTTACGGTTTTAAGAAAAAATATTGCTTGGGTAAAAATTCAACAAAACTTAAAACCTACAAAAATTTATAAAATCTTTTAAAAATTATTTAGTTTTAAATTATATTTTAGAAAAATATTTATGAAAAAATAATATATAAATGTTTAGATAAGTAATGGATACCATCTTAAGAAACTCATTATGGCGACCTGAAAAAAATGTTCCCTTAAAGTTTTATTTTTCACTTTAAGCTTATTTTTCCTTGTTTAGTCAATATTAATAGTATTTATTACCACTAATAACCCTAAAAATTACCAGGCGAATAGGAACTATTTACGGTTACAAAGTGGTCTTAATGTAAAATTATGACTTATGAGTAACATTTACCATTAAGTAAAAATTCTGACGTTAAAATTACCGTTAAATATACTTATAAGTAATTTTCTTTCGTAAAAATTACGTCCCTCATAATACTTTAAAGTGTTATAAAAATACGTAAAAATAACATAAATAAAACTTATTAAATAACTTTAAAAAGTGTTACTTTAATGTAAATTTTTAAGGTTAATTTAACAAAATATTTACTTAAATTAAGTAATATTGCCTCAAATATTGATTTTGTTAACCAAAAGGTATATTAACCAAGAAGTTAAATTTAACTAACATAACGTTAATTTATGGTTAATTTAACGTTGTAGCACAATATTACTTAAATGAATTTACGAGGCATAACGCATATTTAACGTTAATTTAATTAGATGTGCTACTTGGGTTCTACCTTCTCCTATAATTTACTGCAACGATTTGAAACTCCTTTACAATCTAAAGCCATATCCCCATTAATATCAAGAAGAATGCTGGAAACCCAGGTTTATTATAATAAAATGCAATGTTATATTTGTCATTTCCGGTGGATGTGCAGTTAATAACAGTTTTCAAAAGCCACTTACTTACAAGATATATGCGTCTGAATCTCTATTGTAAAATTGGCCGGTTTCAAATCCCAAGAAGTCTTTTGTGCCATGGCACCATACGGGCATATTTACTGTTAATTAAAGTTAAAAAATGTACAGCTTCCTTTATTATTTTGACACAATAATTTCGTGTGTAAATTATAATTAGGCGAGTTTAATTGTTACATTTGGGAGGCTTTAAGTCTAGACGTTTGACTATAAAAATTATAGCATCCATCATCTCGCGTAAAATGGTTCATATATTATTTGTAAGATATGTAATTGTGTCGTTAAAATATTAATTATTATTAAACTTGGAATTTAAGTGCCATTTAATGTATATTATAATGAACCCCATTACTAACATGTTGAATTTTAATATTGAAACAGTTTTTTTTCTACTTGGTAAAATGGTTGCCTACACTAATATAATATGTCTGAAACTATAAAGCATTGCTGTTATATTATAATAATTTATAACCATAAAACCTAATATATTTTCGTTTAAAAGGTCAGAAATTATGCTTACAGCCGCATTAAATTAATTTAAACAGTCTTTGAGTCTAATAACTATCAATCTAGTAACCCATTGGTTTTAATTATAGCCGATGTATGTAGATAACGTTAAATGCCTTAAAGCGGTGTCTTTTTAATAATACAAGATTTTAATTATTTTTTTATTTTAACAACATCGTTGTTACTCTTGCTTTGCGATACGATCTAGGTGCCCCGGTTTATAAAGTAAAGACAGATGCTTAAATAATGGTGAGATGTAATAAATTTAATTTAATTGATTCACGGTTGTGTTTGGAAACTGTATGTATATTTCGAAATTTTTGAATATTCATTGAGAGTTTATATTTATGATGTTGTTAATAGACACATAAATATTTTTATTAAGTGGAATTAATTTTGGAATTTGGCAATGAAATTTATGATTTTATTATTTATCCTTTTATTACACTGAGAGAAATTAATTTGTTAAATAAAAGTTTTAGAAATTAAAACAATAAACATTTTGTTAAAATAAACTTAAATATTACAAGCAATATTTTGTCAAATTAAAAATGTTATTTTAATAGTCCATTTTATTAAAATCAGTATATCAACACTAAATGTAGGTATATTGAATAAATATTGTTAATAAATTTGATTAACTCATTACATTGTTTTTAAGTGTATTTTTTAATTTTATATTGTATTAAAATTTTCAAAACAATTTGTCTTTTTTCCATTTCACAAAGATATTTAAAGTGTGTTAAAGTAAATATACATATTATTTGAAATATACAAAGTAATTATACTTTCCTTTTGAAAGTTACAAAGTAAATATACGTATTAAACAATGGTATTATTAAAAATAAAAAGTAAAAATACAAGGTAATTTTACTTTTTATTTTTAAAATTACAATGTAAATTTAATTTTGATTGTAATGATATACATTAAAAAAATACTTTTACATTGCAATAGTAAAATTACTCGTGTATCATATATGATATGATATGATATGATACCTATAGGTAACAAAAAACCTTTGATACACTTGCAAGTAAACTTTTTTCTCAGTGTACGTATTCAATTAAACTTTTGTTTGTTGTTAAACCAGGGGTTAAAAAAATCATGATTTAAAAAAAATATATAAAAAAAAGGATTTTTTTTATTAAAATCACTTTTTTTATTTTAATTAAATTTTGAATACAAAAATTCAAAAACAAGTAAAACAATTGATTTAAATCAATTATGTTTTATTTTGTGTTCAAACAAATGTATTGTATTTTTCTAATACATTTTTTTTTAATAAATACGATAATTTATTCAACCTTTCCAGTTGATTACCTTTGGTTGAATTAACCAATATTTTAAATAAAACATTATTTTTTAAGTAAATTTTTTTGAATCATCATAACAATTAATTTTTTTAACCTTTAAATTTATTAATCCAAGTAATTTTAAAGATATTATTTTAATATTCCGTGTATTTTATTTTAATAATTTTAATTTGTTAAAACAGCATTTATATTTTAACATTCAAGAATGGTTCTTTTTCCAAGTAAACATTGTATGTATTAAATGTGCAAAAACTGTTGATTTAACCATTTTTTTGGGTAATTTAACCATTTTTTTCTTTCAGTGTATAAAACAGTTTTAGAATGTCCAAAAGCGGTGTTAAATATTATAAATTGTATTAAAATAAGTACTTTTAAAATAGCCTAATAAAACTGATATAAAACACTCGCCTTTGGCTCGTACTAAATTTATTAAAACCTAAATATTCTTACTGCTGTTTTGATTTTATTTCAGTGTTGAGTCATGCATTCTTGAAGTTTATACGCTTAGAAAGATGTAAATCAGGGAGCGGGAATAGCATGCAAGAGATTCCTAAATTTAAGAATATTGCAGTTGGTATACGTTATTCGTGTGAAGTAGATTTGGCGCGGGTCATAAAGCTCGCGAGCCGCGCTTCCCAGGAAAATAGATGGCATAAAAAGTGTGCTTTATTCGTAATAAAGTACAGTGTACAGAAGAAGATCTTTTTATTGGCGTTTAATCATTTCTTTGATATTCCAGGTGTAAAATATCGAATAAAATTTTGTTATGTCTCCAAACTTCTTGGGAATATTAATAGAAATATGGATTATTTAATATCCGGAAATTCAGTGTTTGTAGTACGTGGTTTATCGTATTTTTCGTTTGAACAATGATCAACGGTACTTGGTGTAATGTTTTTAGGATGTTTACTTTCGTCGAAAACCAAAAACTATGGCACGCTGTTTTAGAATTTATCAGATAATAGTTTAATGATTAAAGTTTAGCACTTTAGTGATGTTTTAAAAAAAATTTACAAAGTTAATTTTTTTGTAAAACTTTAAGATTAAAAATATTGATTTTAGCTAAAATTTGTAAAGAGTTATTTAAATGATAGTCGATAAATTTTTAATACAATAATTCTCACATTACATTTAAGTTTTAAATTTTAAAGTGGTAGTTTTGGATTAAAAATGTATCGACTAAAAAACTTTTAATTTTTAAAAAATTTAAATTGATAGTG